AGCTTGAGGCTCTGTCTCAAAAAAAAAAAAAAAAAAAAAGATTATCTTGGCTTGACCAAGGAGGACTTTCTGGTACGAAAGGGGTTAAAAGCTGGACTCCCCACTTAGAGAGGAAGGAGTCCAGATGAAGTCTATGACATAATCCCCACAATAACTCTGATCATGAGCACATTTTTCCATTCTATATCAATGAGAAACAGAGAATGTAAGTGGCATGTACATTGCAGATCTGGGCAAATTCTAGGTGCTCCACCAGAGAAAGAGTGGACAGGAGAAAAGAAAGCCCTTCCTAGGCTGTAGTAGGTGGGGCTGGACTGGGGGTAGGTAAAAGTGCTGCTGGCCAGAGACACACTAGGGAAACTGGAAGTCTCGCTGTTCACCCCGTCAGAAGCAGTCCTGGATCTTCAGGAGGGAGACTCATTGTGTAAGGGATTATCAAGAACTACAGAGTTAATGGATAAAATGTCTCACATGAATCATTCCAATCACCTTTGAAAGGGAAACTATGGCTTTAGGTCAGAGAACAGCTGAAAGGCACCCAAAGAAAGCCCCTTTCCCTTCCTCAGAAATCTGTCTGAAGCTGCTTGCCCCATCAGCAGGAACTGAAACCTCTAGCTTCAGGGTTCCAGTTATCACCCTGATCCTGTCCACACGCAAACAACTAAGCAGAAAGGAAAACTGAAAGTGAGATGTGGAGAGGTGATACAGGAGGCTGGCCTGTCCCAGGCTCAGTTCCTTAGAGAGAGATAATGTGAGCATGCATGGGGTAAGTAGGGGCTGAGGAATGCAGGAAGAAACTTCTGGGTCAGGAGACAAGAGAAGACTGGGTTACCAGTCATCTGGGATATCTTAGCTGGGAAGGTGTAAAAGTAAAGAATAATGATGTTCTCTGAATATTAGTTACTCTCCACAGCTACTCAGTAGAGAACAAGCTCAGAAGCTCAGCCTGGGTAGAGATACCCAGGAGGGAACAGAAAAAGAGATCTATGCTGCCCTTCAGAAGGTGTGGGAGGGTAAGAGAAAAGGAACTAAGAATCACGCACCACATACCAATATATTCTAAGTTGTAAGACTTCCATCGCAGCCACGGTAAAGGGAGAAGACTCTCCATCTCGCCAAGCAATATGAGGAGGGATTGGCAAACTGAACCAGGCTTCTGGATGCAAAGCTCTAGAGCAGAGGTCCTCAAAACTTTTTTTTTTTTCTCTCAAAACTTTTTAAACAGGGGGCCAGCTCTCTGTCCCTCAGACTGTTGGAGGGCCAGACAGACTGTGGGCCCTGGGACGAGTCAGCTGCTAAGCAGGACAGGCAGCAGCGGCAAAAACACCCAGT